TTAGGGGTGGTTATTGGAAGGAAAAATTTGTGGAAGTATAATATTTTACAAGAAAATGACCATTCATCACCCCAGGTAAATTGCTGATTATGCAGAAAATAACTAATATACATGGCAGAAATTAAATATCCTTATTTCCTAAAAAAAATTACCATGGGATGAAAAACTATGCTTAATTTAATATAATTATTGTAGTTTTCATAAGGATAGTCACTGTTTTCTATAAATATAATATATTTTATTTCACTTACCCCCCACGAAAACACGATTTCAGCCATATTTTGCCGTCTTGTTTGCTTTATATCGCCGTGTCTCGCAAATAACATCCAGTTGTTGTACTTTTACATAATGGCAAACGGCTAAAGGAGATTTCAACCAAGTTTCGGCAAGTTTTGGAGCAGTGCAGTGTATTTTATCTTCGATATTGTGTCCTTCGATATTTCGTCCATATGCCGCCATTTTAATGGCTCGCCGATTCTCTGCCCGATAAATGCCACTTCTTCGTCTGCATATGTATTTAGATTACAGTATCCAAGAGTACTTCATTGTAGAATAGTCCTAAAAGAAAAATTGAAAAAATTACTTGCACTTTGAAGGAAAACACCTCCCACAACAAATTCAGGATAGGAATAAAAACAAATCATTTGAAAGTCACGCGCAATCTTCGGGAAAATTCCTTGACAGGGGGGGGCGAACATTTTCACGAAACGTTCCCACAGCAACCTAACTGGATGTCTGGATATATTATATATTTATTACATTTTTATAATTGATAATAAAAATACGTCAATATTTAATGTTTTTAATTTTTATTTTTAAATCATAAAATACAATAAATACAATATATTTAGTTGAAACTTAAATTGCTGTGGGAACAACGTTTCGTGAAAATATTCGCCGCTATATATTATATGTTATACTATATTTTACTATTTTATATAATATATTATGGATATTTACTTTGCAAATCATGTGTAATAATCCATCTTTATATGTTCTCTAATTATATTATGTTATTTATGTCCTGGGAAGTGATTCAGCCAAAAAATACTGTCCAACCCACATTTTCCAATTTTTGGCCCCGACACCTTGTTTGACAAATGTCGGCAAACGTCCGGATAACTTTGAATTTTCAGAAAAAAATTTTCGCGGTCATGACGGCAGAGGAAAAATATTAAAAGTCATGAAAGCACAGGCAAATGGGATCATTTGTTCAGGAATGACGGATAAATATTTATAGGGGTGAGCTCATTGTGCGCAAAGCACGAAGTTCGAGGTATAAAGTCGTTTTTTTTTTAAATTTACGTTTTTGGTTACTCGAATGTTATCGCACGCGGCGATGCGGGCGATTGAATGTAACAGAAAGTCAGCGAGTCATCTATATTTTTTATTTGCTGCGTAAATCTGTAATTTGAACTTGTGGAATCTTTTGCTGCTGAATTCTGCTGAATATAATTTGCGACAAGTGGAAGTTCCAGACTTTCAACCAATTAACATGCTCAGAATATATCACGTGTTGTAGTAGTATTCTAAAGGTCTAGTATTCCAAAGGTCGTAGGTTCGAATCCCACCGTGGCCGGGCATGTTTTTCAAGCTCGCCCGGTGTGGATATGCACTCAGAGTAACATCACAAACATATTATTCACCTGAGTACACAACACCAGCACAGAAAAAATTCATATTACAAGAACACGTTGGTGTTGAAGGAACTAGATACTGTTCCGAAATATCACTTACTCGAACCGTCCTGACCGCGTAGCTCAGTTGGAAGAGCATTGGGCTAGTATTCCAAAGGTCGTAGGTTCGAATCCCACCGTGGCCGGGCATGTTTTTCAAGCTCGCCCGGTGTGGATATGCACTGAGAGTAACATCACAAACATATAATTCAATATGTTGACACCATGCGCCAAGTTCGATCTTTTGGGAGAAAACATTCCAAGAGGAAAGATTTTTGTTCAAATTTTCTACTTATAAAGTTCCAAAGACCTAATAAGATACATGTAATTTGTTTTCAAAGGCATGCTAAACTTTGTATATAGTCTTTGATAATTGTTTAAACTTATATTTGTAACCTTAATTATTACTGCATGCATGTAACTGTAACTATTTTCTCAAAAACCCTCTTTAATCATCCAAAATCAACGAGAATCTGCTGCAAGCTATTTGTTGAATGTTCTCTGTTCAGTGGTCAATTGAGCCATGTTTAATGACGTTCTTATTGTCTCACAAAGTTTCTTGCAGCATGCACAACGGGTTTAACGCCTGGCTTTAATTGAATGTGATATTCATGCGATAAATATCCTTGACCTTTGAATAAACTCTTCAAGTAACTAATCACAATTGGTGTTTTCGTCCGCTTTTAATGATAGGTCTTGGCATGTTTTTAAACTCAAAGCAGTGGGAGCAGTGGCATTAGCAACGTAAAATTCAAGGTTATAGGCTTCGTTCTTATATTTGCATTTCAGCTGACATCTATCAAGAACTGGAAGTAATATATGAACAACGAGAGCGAGTGTTTCACCGGGATATCCAAACACGAGAAAACAATGTATGAGAACACGAGCGCGAAGCGCGAGTGTTTTCGTACATTGTTTTCGAGTGTTTGGATATCCCGGTGAGACACGAGCTCGAGTTGTTTATATGGCTTCTCAAATGAATCGAGACGTAACAGAATGTTTTCGTTTGCTGATTTGAATAGAATTCTTAACCAAGCATAACGTAATTAGTAATTTTGCATGCGTAATTAAGATATTTGATGAAAACACTAGTGACTTTCATCAAGTATCCAAATGGCATCTTGTGATCAAATAGGTGATTATCATTGGCTGAATTACTCATGAATTATTAATGAATTTGAGAATTCTATTTCCCCCGTATGCAGTTAATTTTAGTTTAGTTGGCTGTAACACTTTTGACTTTGTCTTTAAGGAATTATAAACTTGTACCGGCACTACGTTAACTTGGGCCCCAGTATCTAGTTTAACTTTAATTAACTCACTCCCTTCGACTAACAACTGCACGGATATTTCAGTAACTCAAAGATATGGATTTTAACTTCGCAATGCGAATTGTCGATTTCTCATGTCAATACTGTCAACAATGTCTCTCTCGCAATTGAGTAACATAAGTTGGTCTAATCTTGCTTGAGACATCATGCTTCCGATAGCATCTCAATAAATATTGAAAATTATGGAACTTACCCGTATGCATATTACAAAATCAATGCACTGAATCAATAATTCATGTAACGAATCATAGAATTATCGCAAAATTGAGCCTTCAGCTCCAATGGTCAGTGGTCTGAAAATTGCTGTACTTCATTGAGTATATACGTAATTGTAATCGGGTTATCGATTTTTGTAAAGATTTGAAATTATATTACAGCTATCACTGGCATTAGTATTTCCTCAATATATTTTGACTAAAAATATAATGTTCCTTTAATATTTAAATATTCCTTTGACCAAGAAACAATTTGACCAGGGCCCCAGTCGCCACGCCCCTGGCTTTAAATAATCTCCAGAAATCTCAAATCTTTCAAAGCTCGCCAACGTGGAAATATATTCACGCTTCTTAGTTCTTATTACGTTTTTGATGTTACGACGTAACTCGCGACATCGGTCCCACGTTCTTGTGTAGGGCGTGAATGACTTCTTGGGTAATGTAAGGTGTAGTTCGTCTTAACCGACGCACAACAGATGCTAAGTTCGCCTAGACGTATAATGCGTCTTGCGCATTTCTTGCGATTTTCTACCCGCTAGAATCAATAATTATCATACCTAGCATTCCTCAAAAGATGGGAACATCGATGGACGTTAAGGTATAGTATGGTCTTATAGGGAGGAGCTGATTGTTTAGGAATATTGAAATGGAATATAATACTAAACTAAAAAAAAACTTTACTTACTTAAACAAATCGTGTACTGTATTAGCAAGCTCAGGACCAATACCATCGCCAGGGATCAATGTGACTGTTTGCCAACCACCATACTTAGCCAATGGTCTTAATTTAAGCAGACATCAGTTAGGCAAATATAAATTGTAACTACAGTATGTTCTGTGACATTCAGTTCATTTTACAATCTGGTCAAGTTTTGCTACTGTACATGGTTTGTATTTGAATGGAATGGTGACACAAACAATTCAACCAGGACTAAATTTGCATCCCACTGGTCACTTCTTATGCGCCACAGACAAGCAAGGTGAAAGGAATACAAAGGAAAACGATGAAATTAATATAAATCCAATAGCTTTATTATTTACTTTATTTATCTAACATTTATATTATAAAAGAATGCACCTGTTCATACCTATTGTAAATATAAGAAAGCACCTGCTCATACTGTACCTATTGTAAATATTATTATTATTATTCCTGTAGGTGCATGAGCATGCAAAATTGCCTGGCTGCACTAGCTGGCCAGGAACCAGAAGCTAGGAACATGACAAGTGCTTTGTGATTGAGAATATAGATATATGGTGACAGCTTAGCTGCCAACTTTGGGAAAAAAACATCATGAGATTTTGCTTTGGGGGGCCCACAAGGCGTCACCAGCTTTAAAACAAAACCATATTGTGAATGCTTTCTCCTCCGCAGAGGTTTACATGAAACTTCTAGTAAATCTCATCACTCCTCACACGCTCACTTTTATTTAGGAAACTTTGTGTAAGTTAATATTTGCAATTAAGGAGGATCTGCGGAAGAGAGAGACGTGTATAGTATGTTGTGCCGGCAGGTGGAAATTTAACATGGTGGCTAGGGCACCAACTCTCAATTTAGTTGCAAGAATGGGCCCCC